ATAAGATAAGTACGAATCTCTTGTTAGTTGTTTAATTGTTTTATCCATAGACATAATTTACCTGCAACCTAATCTGTTGATTATTGCACCTTGTAAACATATTAAATGTTAATTATGTTATAAGAATAATTTCTTCAGGTTTTTATATTCATAATATAACTAATGAAGTATACCTATGTAGTTAACTGAAACAAGTGATAAATTTGTATTAATAATTTTACCAATCATGTATACTATCAAAAAGGTACAGGAATTTATTAATTAACTGTATCTAAATTTTGATTTATTWAAATTTTTAGTTATATTTGTATAATCTATAAAGATGCATTTAAGGTTGAGTATACTTATAATATTATAATATATGCAAATGTATACGTCCATTACGTCCCAATAATAATTGTATTGTAAAAGATTATTTATGTTTGTGTATTATTATTTATTTTATTTATAGTGTGAGAAATATTCATAATGTGCCAACAAAACGTATTACCAAACTATTGATAGCTAATCGAGGAGAAATAGCTTGTCGTGTCATCAAAACAGCACGTCGTTTGCAAATTGAAACTGTTGCTGTTTACAGTGATGTTGACAAAGATTCTATGCATGTGGCTATGGTATAAAAATTACTTTGTTTTATACTTTTATTTAGTAATATAATTATTATAGATTAATATGCCTAAAAATGTGTTTTAAAGGCTGATCAAGCAGTACATGTTGGTCCAGCTCAAAGTGCACATAGTTACTTGCTCAAAGACCGCATTATCAATGCTGCAATTAAAACCAATAGCCAAGCCATACATCCCGGTTATGGTTTTCTGTCAGAAAATACATCATTTGCTCAATATTGCCAGAGTAACAACTTGATATTCATTGGTCCTCCACCCAATGCTATTGAAAGTATGGGAATAAAAAGGTAAAGATTATGATCCTTGGATTTTAAATAAGTATTTAAATCATCTGAAATATTTTTAAAAATGGTAGTAAGTCGAAAGAAATAATGTCTGAAGCTGGTGTGCCAGTAGTTGAAGGGTACCATGGTAAAGATCAAAATTCAGATTTCCTTCAACATGAAGCTAATAAAATTGGTTACCCTGTTATGATCAAAGCAATTAAAGGCGGAGGGGGTAAAGTAAGATTTAATTTTCAAATATCTCTATAGATTTGTATGTAAACATAATATCATGCTTGTGAAACAAAATATAAATATTACTATTTAATATTTTATTTAATTAGGGTATGAAAATTGTTTCCAAAGAATCAGAATTTTTTGAAAATCTTATGTCAGCCAAAAGAGAATCATTAAGTTCATTTGGTGATGATTCGGTTTTAATTGAAAAATACATACAACAACCTAGGCATGTTGAAGTACAGGTGTTTGCTGATCAACACAAAAATTGTGTCTATTTGTTTGAACGTGACTGTAGTGTACAGAGACGTCACCAAAAAGTTATGGAAGAAGCACCTGCTGTAAGATTTTACAAATGTTTCAGGCGTTGATTACTTATTAAATTTTATTAACATAATAATTTTCAGCCCGGGTTAAGTGAGAGTCTAAGACAACATCTTGGAGAGACAGCAGTTCGTGCAGCAAAAGCCGTTGGGTATGAAGGTGCTGGAACTGTGGAATTCATATTTGACAATGCAACCAATATGTTTTATTTTATGGAAATGAACACTAGATTACAAGTAGAACATCCTGTTACCGAGATGATCACCGGAGTGGATTTAGTAGAATGGCAGATCAAAGTATTTTTAATAAATTCAGAAATGAATTTGAAGATAAGAAAAAATAAACAATGGTATTGCAGGTAGCAGAAGGTGAACAATTGCCTTTAAAACAGAATGAAATCAAATTTCGAGGACATTCTGTTCAAGCACGTATTTATGCTGAAGATCCTTATGATAATTTTTTACCTGCCGCTGGAAATTTACAATACTTGGACTATCCTATTGTGTCTMATGATGTGCGTGTAGAAACAGGAGTAAGACAAGGAGATGATGTTTCTGTGCATTATGATCCTATGATTGCAAAACTGGTGGTATGGAGTGAAACTCGATCAGATGCATTTGCTAAGCTGAAAAATAACTTGGCAGCGTTCAATGTAAAAAACATTGTTTTTAGTTTCTAGATTACTTAGATTTCTCTAAGATATTCTTAATATAATAATAAGTGATAACTGTAGATTGCAGGTTTGTCAACAAATGTTCAATTTCTAATGTCGCTGTGTGCACATCCTGAACTTTTAAAAGGTAATGTTCATACAGGATTTATAGAACAACATAAAAATGTTCTTCTATCAAAAAATCTACCTAATTCTGAATTGATATCTCAGGTAAATGTTGTTTATACTTAATTAATTATATTATTTATTATTAACTGCTAATGTTGTTCATTGTTTTAGGCAGTTATTGCTTTAATATTATATAAAGAAAATAACACTATTAGTACAAATATTAATACCAAAGATCCATATTCACCATTTGCTACTCAAACTGGTTTCCGGGTAAATCACAATTATGTACAAAAAATTAAACTCAAACACAACCTTTGTGGAGGTAAAAAAAAATATACAGCTAACAACTTTAAAAAAATTTTAATTACTGCTCAATATAATGTTATTTTGGTTTCAGAACTGTATGATGTTAGGATTGAGTACTGTGGAGTAGGATCTAGTAATAGTAGATTTAATGTTTGTTTTAAAAATAAAGATACTGAAATTGAATCAAATGTTATTGGTAGCTTAGATACATCATCATCAAATAAATTTCATCTAACGTGTGTAGTAGATGGCACATTGTATAGATCCAATATTGCATTCATAGAAAACACATTAAATTTATTTAATAAGGTATTACTGACTATTGTCAAAACTTATTTTAAAATCTATAAAATATAAGTTATACCTAACTTTTTGTTTTATGTATAGGATGGAAACTATGAATTTACTGTTATTTTGCCTTTCAATGAAAAATTAATTGATAGCAATGAACAAGACACAGAAAGTAATGCAACTATTTTAGCTCCCACCCAATCAACAGTAGAAAGAGTAAATGTGAGTCTTGGCAATAATGTTTGTATTGGTGATCCTTTAGTGGTTTTAACAGCCATGAAAATGGAAGTAAGTAAAACATGCTTTAGATAAATATATATTTAAGTAATTTTTAATCTATCAAAATTATTTCAGTATGTAGTTAAAGCGCAAATTGAAGGGAAAATAGAAAACATCCTATGTAAAGAAGGTGACAGTGTCAGAAAAGGAGAACTGTTGATAAAAATTACACCTAAAAATTGATTTGAAGTACAAACATTTATACTGTAATATACATATCAATACTATAATATTTAATTTTATTAGTTTCATAAATTAAAATATTAAATTTAGAATGAACTTATCAAATAATAAAGTACGTTTAAGATTTAATACGGAAGACAAATAGAAAATAGAATGACACGTAGAGTATTTATTGAACAATTGGGCAAAAGAACACTGAGCTAATTTGAAAAAGTAATTCATAATCATATTAATARGTACAATGTAATTTATTAGTATGGAACAAGAAAGATTTAGTTATTTATCTGTTTTATGAATAGAAAGTTATATTAATTAGCTAATTTAATATATAATTTAATAGTTTGTACGTCATTATGATAAATCCACTGATATACCTATAATTAAATAATAGAATACAACTCTATAAATCGCTGACTTGGTTTTTATGTGGAATGCTAAAAAAAAAGGCTGACAATTTTTAACAAATATGTCTGGATTTTTTCATTAAAATGTGATGATAATAATTAATAATCACAATATTTTATAATTTTAAATTATGACCATAATATGAAATATTATTTAAATWATATTTTGTTTARAGTTAAAATAATGATAGCATGTATATAAGTATTGTAAAAAAGTTAAAAATAKATTTTTTTATTTAATTATTTTCAAAAAAGTTAAAGATAACCATTTTTTTTTTCTRAAAATATTGACGTTTCAAAATTTTATGATTTTTAATATTTTTTCTAGTTTTGAAGAAATAAAATATGATTATTTAATCTATTCTGTAATCTGTGCTATTAGGAACACCGAAAGTATTTGGCTGGCCGTATGGGAATGCATGCGGTGCATCTCATCACATGTTTGATAACATTACGGTGTTAAATAATTTACAATTTTTCTGCAAACTAAAAAAAAAAATTAATGAAAATAAAATTTTGACACGTCAATATTTTCAGAAAAATAAACTACAAAATTGCTATGGTTAATTTTTTTGGAAATAATTTAATAAAAAAATATATTTTTAACTTTTTTACCAAAACATATTTAATTAAATAAAAATATGAAATAATTATAGTTTTTATCCTTGTGAGTCTTATTGCAGAACCAAAATTTCGATATCACCATTATTTTGGGAGATATCGTAATAGGTAAAATCCTCATGGGACGCCCGTATAGTAAACCCGAAAAATTATTCAATCATAATAACTATTATTTCATTATTGACTGATGGTTACCATAAAACATATAAACAAAATAGTATTTAATTTTTGTGAGCCTATGCAAAATGCACAGGCCCCCTTTTTTTTCCATTCAAAAAACCAGGAACGGGTGGGAAATGTTTAGCACAATACTGCAACCCGGTCCCGTATCGTTTATTCTGCATGGGCCCCCTAATGTGGATGGAAATACAAAATTTTGACTTAACTTTTATTGAAATTTAAAAAATAAAAAAATCCAATTTTCTTGACCCTGTATAAGTATAGTATGATCAAATACATTTTGATATGTTTGATGATAATTATGTTGTTAGTTTGTTACATAATATTTTGTTTGAACAATTACCTACTACAATTTAAATAAATGGTTGTATTGCACATCACAATCATTTGAAATTTTTAAGGTAACTAACTGTTTATCAGTAATAATATAAATTTAAAGTGATAAATTATAACAAACACCAGACAACAAGAWATGTTATAACCTAAAATATATATTTATAGTTATAATACAAACATTAAAAATAATTATTCATGTTTTGAGGATATTTTGATMCGGATGCTTCAATTGCTTTTTAATTTTTTTGGAAAACAATGTCAAGTCTTTAGCTCTAAAAATAATTTATACAGATTAAGTCAAGGTGATTAAGTTACATGTRTTAATGTTACTTACAATTGGGCATTCTGTTTTTTTTGGCATCCTTTTCTATGTTTCTTAACAGGGGCACCTCGTGGATTGGTATTATTTGTTTTTCCGACTGGCCAATCCAGTACTTTTTGGTTGCTCATTTCAACGTCACTATGATTATCGTCGTTGTCACTGTCATTATCATTGTTAGACTTTTTTTTTCTTTTTTTCAACTTTTTTTGTGTCACCCCAAGCTCTGGATAAAAAGCCAGAGTAATTATTTTATGCAAAATAGAATATATACACAATATAATTTTCAAACCTAAAACAACAAACTTTTTATTAAGAACGCATGTTTCAAGTACCGCTTTGCATCCTTTTTCAATTTCAGAGATTCACCACCGCCACAAGATTTGACACTCTTCATCACGGAACAGACACTCATCTTATCGTCGTCTTTCTTCATTCTCATTAGCTCTTCAGCCAATTCCAAATAATTGGTTTGTTGGGGTTGTTCTTCATTTCCWCCGTTCGTTGTCCCTTCTGCAGCTTTGGCTAATTTTTTCTTGTACCTACGTACTTTTCCCATCCTGAATTTCAAAACAACAATGTTTAGTTTAAGAAATACTGTTACGAATTGAGTGCAATGTWATAAAACACCAGACTTTTGGACCGTTTCRGGTTAGCTACAAATTTTTTAAATTTAACAGTCTGACATTTCGACTATAACAGGTTTTGAGTATTCTAAGGTTACGACTGTTAGAAGTTTGAAGTTGGAACAGTTAGAACTTAGAAATGAAAAGTGAAATTGACATATTGTGAAATACGAATGGGTCTTATCAGAAGATTAACATGTTTTTTCAATTGTTATCAATTGTTGTTCTTAACAAATCCATGGACCAGAAAATAAAAACCATAGATCTCTAAATCTATGAGATCACATAGATCCCTCGGCAGCTAGATCTTAGTGACTAACTGACGCAATAGGATATAATTGACGGGGGATTAAAACGACCACAGCGAGTTTATTAATTAATTTTAACTTTAATTACTAATTAGGATTATTAGTTTAAAAATTAAGTCGTTTTACCAATTTTAAATTATAATGGGTTTATGATTTTTACTTATTGTTGTGATCTAAGTATTTTATTTTTATTTTTTTATTATGGAAATAACTTAATAACTGCTAGAATAATATTATGCGTAGTGCGTACTCACTAAGATGAATTGATGAACATTTTCTTCAAAAACTGGGTTTATTCAAATTAATTTTCGAATATTTATATTATTTTAAATCTAATAATTAACACTAATTGTATTTTTTGAAAATGTGTAATACAATTCGCAGCGTCACAACGTTTTTTCGCTTGTCACGTGTTTTTTACGAACTAGTCACTGACAAAAAATGGTGGTGTACTGGCGTGAAACATCGATTTCTATAAGAACATTACTTAGGTAATTGTTGTCAATTAATATACTTGACTAATTAACACGGTCTATTATACATGTCAACCAATCAAAATGATTAAATAATAACAAAATTAGGGTTAATAGAGTTTTAAGTGATCGGATTTATTGTCATGTATTTAAGTTACTATGTGTTTTAGGTATAACAGGTCTTACGTTACCTGAAAAATACCGTTTACACCTTAAACACGTTATTTTAACTAATACCTATAGTAAAATAAATATATAATGGCAATATAAATATAAAATATATCATAATTCATAATCATAACATAATAAATGTAGGTACTTACCTACCTAATATTTTTTAATAATAAAAGTTGACAGATTATTTTCACTCAGTATCGTTTTTTGCATGCAATTATGCAATGATTAATTGATTTAATTTATGATTTATCATTGAATTCAAATTTAACACATTCATTACCTACAACATGTTTACAGTAATTTACTCAATATAATGAGCTACGCTTGATAAATACTGCAGAGTGCAGAGTGAAGGTTATTCTACAGAAGGGTGGTTACATACATTCAGTAGCGTCATTTCAGTGTTTAAGAGTTAGGGGCAAAATATTCGACCAGCCCATAATATAACTAAAAAAAAACTCGCAAATAATCACATTTTTATCTCAAAACATATAGGCATATAGCTTTTTTACATAATTTAGTTACCATCACGGCATCACGATTCACGGTTATCCGAGATAAGGCATAACGCATAAATAACTCATTTTTTGAAGGATAACAATGACTAAATAATACATATGATTACACATATATAACAGGCCCGAACAGGGGTGGTGAACCTTTTTTTGATCTAGTGCCAAATTTTCGMAATAWAGGATTCGACAATTTTTCATGTGCCCAAAGTGTGTAAACACTAAAAAGAACATAATAAATATAACGATAATATAGTAACACGCAATCAATTCACAATTGTACATAATAGGAATATTATTTTTATTTTTATTTTTTATTTGACGAAACATTATATTTACAATCTGTATTTACAGTTACACAATAAGTAAATGTGATGGTGATTGATTGGCAGGAAGGGGAAGTCGCCCAGTGACAGCATCCCGTGCAATAGGAATATTATAACTTTTAAAATGTTTATAATTTATTTCTTTGAATTTTTTACAAGCAAAATTTTAAGAAYAGCATAATTTAGCTCAATTTTAATTTTTCGCGTGTCTTTAAAATTTGAAAAACGTGCCACTTTTGGCATGTGTGCCGTGGGTTCGCCACCTCTGATATATAACATTGTGTAGGTTAGGTTATGTAGATTATAGAAGGATGCCTATACCCAATATTACCTATTACCTATTGTATTATGATGACTTATTTTGAGAGGAATTTTACCCCAATTGATGTCCTATTTACGCCAAATATGAGTATAAATATATTTACAAAAAAAAAAAAAACAAAACATACAATAAATTATTAAATATTTATTATTAATTTATGTTTTTAAAGTGTTACTATTAGATAGTTAGAATGTTAGATGCTAGGTATTAACTGGGTATCTTCTAGTCTTCATACCAGCAAACATGTCAACAACTTGATTTAAATCTATTAGTGAAGCTAATAAAATAATTTGAAATGTTAATTTATAGCGGGATTGCGGCTCGCTAATGATAAGTGGGGGCAAATGCTTATGCTACCCCTTCCTAAATGACGCCATTGCCACCATTGCATATATTATTTCTCTTTTTTTATATTAATATGTTAATATACAATATTTARCACGTTTAAATTGATTATTAATGCACAATATAAAATAATTGCCCATTTCCATCATTATTGCRAGAATAGAATTAATTTATATTTAAATTTCAAGTGTAATTCAAATCTCAGCACGCCTCTAAAAATGTAATAAAATTTTTCCTGATAATGATAGATTTTTATTCACATATTAGTCCTACCTTCGTTTTAAGGATATAGCGCTACTGCTTATAAATATTTTAGTATTTTTGAGTWGGTATTTTAGTATTTATATCATTATGTGTATTTTTAGCTATAGGTACTTAGGTACTTCTTACAAGGAGAAGTGTTGGTTAAACACTCAAACCAATTTATTTTATTTTTATTGATTGACATTTTATACAATAACTATTATAAATATAAAACATTTTGTACATGGTAATGGTATAAGTTGTTATAAAAGTTTATAATACGTGACTATAGGGGGTGGAGTGGCCGAGCGGACTTAGGCGTCGGTTGCGACGCACGCAGTCGCCGGTTCGAATCTCGGTCACGGGCGGCATCATTCTTTGGGCATTTCGCGATGTCTGGAGAGAGAGGCCGCCGGCCACCAACCGGGCATGGCAGAAACCCACGGGTGCCCATTCAAAATTCTGCCAAAAACCCACGAGTTAAAACCTTACAGTTCCTTCCCCTACAGTTCCCCAGGCTAATGACCTCAGTTGTCGAAGCCCTAACCATAAAAAAAAAAAAAATACATGACTATTACAGATCAACTCAACTTAATGCCCCAATTTGAATTGTTGAATAATGTGTGAAGTACGATTTACTATCTATGCATAAAAAAAATCAAAATTCATGTCATTAATTTAAAAATTATATTTTATCATTTTATTTAAATAGTAGGTACCTATAAAATTATTTTTAAATATTAAAAAAATATTGTTTGTTTTCAAATTTTAATCTCGAATAAAATAGGTAAAACGATAATTTTCAAAAATCATTATATTGACATTAATTATTTAGAGTTGGGATACACATTTAAGAATATGCGAGACGTAACATCATACCTAATATTATACATATACTTATTGGGTGCTTAATAAWAATGATCTACCTATGTAGGTGGTACCATCTTTCCTGTAGATTCTTATTTTTTGCATATTTGGTTGTAATAACCTATCTAATAGACGTAGGTATGTAACTATACGACAGGTAAATAGAATATTATGTATTTTATTCAAGTAAGTATAAATTATTATTAACATATTATATCTTATATAACAAGTGATATTATATCTAGGCATATAATATTATATTGAAGTCCGGAAAATTTACTAAGTATACTCCTCGTCTTCATATCCAAGTCGTTACAATAATGGTATAGGTATATTGTGCWGGTAAACTTAATATTATATAACAGTATATAATATATTAAAGCAGGTACCTACATGGCTACATGTAAATATCACATTGGCATAAAAAGATATGAACGAGATATAGGTACATTCAAAATGTTGAAAAATGAAATGTGTACTATGTAGGTAATAACATTTAATATTATAATCGTATATAATAAAAATATAATAATATAGTACTGTTTGATTAGTTTGTATTTAATAATAATTATAAATAAAAAATGTTAGGTGTATGGCATTCCTTTAACAATATCATAAATTCATAACATAAAATAATTATATATATATAGATGGATCATAGTAGGTTAAAATATATAATTTAAAAACTGTTTGTGTCAATATATACTATAAAATATAGTATATCTGACAGGAAAATGTAAACTTGGCCCTGATATAATAGGTGAGAATAAAAAGATGGATTGCACATTCGTCTCCGATTATTTTTCCCCAGCTTAAACCCATACATGGTTAAAAAAAATCGTGACTTAGTTTGCACATCAATTTTTACTATGTATTCATCGTGATCGGGACTGAGCTTACAATAATGTTGACCTTTTTATAATTTGCTATTGCGCACAGCCGAATATTTATAACAGCCCGTATACAATATTATATATTAATATAATGATATGTGTATACTTACTATAATAATGTATGCCTGTAAATTATGCATAGTAATAATTTCATGAAAATTATTAATATACGTCGTGTTAGTATGATATAAGTTGTTTGCTTTATAATGTTTATTATAATATATTATATTATTCATGCATATGTATACGATATATACCTACGCATAAATATATAATATGTCGTATAGTATATATATATATATAACGACGATGCAAATTATGGTCGTCCAAAAAGAAATAATAATATTATATTAAATAATAACGGAAAACTATTATAATATATTAAGATGATGTTATAAGAAGAAAAACCGGTGATGGTTGCGTGGTGTAGAGAAGGTTCCAGTGAACTAGGTATATACCGTCATTTAATTTTACACGCGTTGTCGAGGTATTTGTGCAGACTCGCGGCGATCGCCTGTTTGTCGCGCCCGCTTCCGCCGCTGCGGTTGAAGTACTGTTTCTGTTGCAGCTGCTGTTGCTGTTGCTGTTGTCGGTGGTCTTTACCGCGGACGCCACCGGCGGTGCTGCTGCTTCCGCTGGTGGCCGCGGACGTACCGTACTTGCTCAGGCCTCGGAAGTATTCGCGACGCAAGTCCGCGGCCGTCTTGGGCTTGGCGGGCGGCGTCGCGACCACCGTGAGCGTGATGGACGAGTCGTTGACGGATATCTCGTCGCAGCTGTAACTCGAATCGAAGTTGCTGCCGTTTCCGGTCGGCGTGTCCGGCTTGCTGCAAGACGCGTCGCCAGTTTCCGCTTTGGCCGCTCCGGCGGCGATCTTGTACGACAGCTCTGACGACGGCGAGTTCTTGATGCAGCCCGACTTCCGGCCACCGTTCATCCGGGGCAGCGAGTTGTATCCGGAAGAACCGCTCGAAGGGTACGCCTTTTTGACCGCAGCTGGGGTTTTGTCGGCGTGGCAGCCGCCGCAACCGTCGACGCCACTGCTGCAGGCCAAYGACGATGAACCCGCCGTGACGGTACGCGATTTCCTCGGCAACGTCGCGCTCCTCGTCAACCTCGCGGCCGGCCACTGTTGTTTCGACTTACTGTCGTCCTCGTCCTGCGCAAAATTTTTATACATTTTAATGGTTTAATGCCATATTTTATATCAAATTTACTATACTATAGGATGATTTTCATTACGAYCTCATAGTCCTCGCCACATTTATAATATTATACATTTATACTTACACACAATAATAATATAAAGTTGTGGGTATCGTTAAATTCATATATTTTATTGCAGGAAAAGGCATACATATAGGAAAGAATAAAATATTTATACTAAAACTAAAACGTGGTATATTTTGTAATGTGACCATTTAATAAACTAAATTATAACAATAGTTTGTTGCAATCTAATACGTTTAWCTGTTTATAATTGTAATTTTTTCATAATTTCGTATCCATAATATTGCCTCTACCATTATCATAAATTTGGCCCTTCTACTTAATTCAAATATTTTAAATTTTCATGTTTAGATTTAGCAAATTTATATTGCGGAAATTAACAAGGCTATTTTCAGAACTTTCGAATCTCAAATTCTTAACATTTATCGGAGATTAGGACGCACAAGAGTCAATTTAACGCAGCCCTTAAAATTTTACCAGCAAAWTTCTACTAACTTATTTCTAACTCATATCGAGATTTCAACGAAAAAGCTTCTAAAAGCTACGTTTTTTAAGCAATTTGTCAATACAATGACGTAAAAAAATKTATTAAGGTTTTCATTTGTAATGTCTTATAAATAATTTTTAGATTTCTAGCAATTTCCAGGATAAGAAATATATCGATTAATTGGAATAAAATAACGATTTAATTTTAATTTGTTGACACTAAATGCAAACGCTTATTATTTTTCTGCAGTGCAGTTGAATCTTGGCTTGACAAGATCGGTATAGGCATTAGGATTTTCCTGTATATTCACGAGTTATAGATATTTATTACGTCGTTTGTCAATCTAGGCGTAAGCTGATTATAACTGGCACGTCCGTAACATTCGAATTAATGCTCGCGACTCGCGGAACACCCTGTAGGTACGTCGTACGATAAGACAGTGTACGGCTTTCTTGAATTTTTAAACATTTCTATATGTTGATATATACTTGCGTATCCGCCATTGTACATTTGTACCAACGTCACTACTCACTGTATATRTATTTATGACGTACTATATGTCACTGTTGCAGGTAAAACTTGAAATGTGGAATGACTTGCATGCCATAAAAAATTATTACATCTAAGAACAGTAAGAACACGGCCTCTCCCTCTGACGATTCTTAGTTCTGACACAACAAAACTAATGGCACTGCCTACCTACCTACGAATACTCTTTGGGATGATATATATTTTAATCGTATGTAATAACGGGAATGTTTGTATTATTTGGCTCTTATTACTGGTGATTTAAAATATTATGAAATTTAAAACTATGAACCTAACWATTAATAAATGACTTCTTACATGGCAATATTATTTACTCTAATTTATATAAATAATCTAATTTATTTATGTATTTATTAATTTATATAGAAATGAAATTCTAAATAGACTATACTACGATTGAAACAATAATATCATCGAATAACATAAATATCAAAAATATTTTTGGGCCATTCGTACTATTATAATAATTGTTCAAATTTCTGCAATCCTGAGCGTATCAAGATGAAATATAGAAGATAGAACTTATTGAACATACCTAAGTACCTACTTAAGATTTTCATATTCACCAACAAATTATATAAATAAAAAATAATATGAAAATTTTGGAGTCCAATGCACCCAACGACATAATTATCAATTATAAATTATTAAACACTTTCGCGGAAGATTACTGGAGATTTCGGTTATGAAAGTTGCTAAAACGGGATTAGAATAGTAGTTGGTAGTCTAATGTCAATAAATCGTGACTCGTATTTTAAGCCACGAATGAATCAACAATTCAATGATTCCGAAATCGTCCAACCCTGCCGTACTATTAATCATAATTGTATACTCATTATTGGGCGTCTTACTAGGTATAGATAATTATATTATTATTCATTGGTGAGTGCATGCATAGCTTAGGTGTATGTACTTAGGTTAGGTATATATTAAGGATATAAGTATCTTTTTTCAATGTAATTTTAACCTTTATGGATTAAAATTATATATATAATTATTAATTACACAAGCTAGTTACCTATTATACATATGGGTAAGGTGAATGCATAATAATATAAAAAAAGTCGTTTCGAGATCTAAACAGTATTATTTTAACAGCAATCTATTTCCTAACAGTATGGTTTAGCTATAGATATGTCGTATGTAACATTATACCGTACAGTATATAAACTATAAAGTAATAAACTCATAAATAAAAATAAATTGTTATATATTTTAGTTTTAGTTAGATATGCAGATGRCGTAAAATGTTGTATTAAAACATTATATATAACATATCATGCACGTACCTGTATATGTATATTGTATATTTATATAATATAACATAGCAGCTAGRCGATATGAGCATGTAAAACTGGAATTACTGGATCTCGAAATGCCGATAAGTAACGAGAAATAAGTGGCGAAGCTGGTYTTACACGAATGCCGTCAAAGGTTGTTAAATCTCAGATGGGTGATTAATAGGTATTTTACGACTGCGTGACAAACGAAAACCGAATAATTTTTACGTGCCTACACCTACTCATATTATATTGTTAAAACATTGTTTCGTTGTTACTTGTTATATAGCCTGTATGTAGGGTGCCATTGACATGTCATTGAATGAAGCATAAACAAATAATATACCTATACCTAATTCTATGCTTCTTATATGTAAAAAAAAAAATGGAATAACTGCGCGTGGTATTTGGTGGTATTATAACAACTGAAATCTTAGTGTGCATTGGTTTGTAACGATTATCTATGCTGCAGACCGTGATATGATTAATAATATTATTAGGACGTTATGGGGGTTTCACAAGGGCTAGAATAGATTTATATTATAATTAAATAATAGAAAAACTCTCACGAAAAATTATAGATTTTAACTCGTTTATCATATAATCAAAGGTAATATACTGATGTCTGATATGTATATTGTCAATTCATATGCACTATATGCATTACCTATTATTTATTATTTACTAAGAAGGTATATCAATACGATTAATATTGAATGATAAATTTAAATTTGTTGAATCACACATTACATATTATTTACATGTCATAATAATACATGACGTTTCAATTTTTTTTTTTTAATAATCGATGGCTGGAATAGTCATCTATTGCATAACGACTTAAGCTTGTTACGACATAAGACGAAGTTTTAGTCTTCTGGGCCATATTCAAATTTTAAACGAAACAAATTGTAGAGGTTATGTGACGATGACATTATAAAAATGAGCGAATCATAATTATTATATCGGCTTACAATGCTTACATTCACGAGTACTRTTTAAAATATTATATTAAAATTGATACGAGTTCAAATAGCGATCTATATTTACGTTATAAGTTACAAGTTAYAATTGTAATCATACTACGTCATGTGTGTGCATAAACATAAATACATTTTTATTGTATGTAACTATACATAGTRTTTATATCCGGCAGTATAGGATATTAATGCAAAGCTCATCAACGCGTGACTCGTTAACTATATAGAAGTAAACAAAACAATATTACAACTCGATGGACTATAGTGTTCTCCCAATATTATTATAGCATAAATGCATAAAATGTATGATATTATGCATTTAATTTAATTAAAATACGAAATACGAAGTGTTTTAGTTTTTCRGTATTTTAAGTTATTGGTTATAGACGTTTCTAAAGCGATCCATTGAAGCTTATAATATTATGTAATATGTATATTATTATGAACCTACATAATTAGGTATATTATATTATTAAATATAACATTAAAGCATAAATACCTTTTCCGTTTGTGTGGAGATCGAGTGTTGTGATTGTACGCTTTTGTTGAACCATTCGTCCGGAGGGAATTGAGTGGCACAACAATAGTTGTTGGACTTTCGGGATTTGGAGTTCGATCTGCGACTGCCGAAAAGTCTCGAAAAAATACCMGGCGAYTTTTCTGCAAATAACACACCCACGAATATTATATTATATACTCACTGCGCCGTATTAATAATGTTATTATTCTTCGTGCTCATAAGTGTCTACTGTCTTTATAATAATAACTCACTAAACAGTCACCATAATTCTACGAGTATACTGTATACGATATTTACAATATATAATATTATTATTGTCATTATGTAACCATAGGAGCAGCGGGTGTAGGTACTCACTCGGCTCTGAAGTCACACCACCGTAGTATTCGTCCGTTTTGTTTTTGTTCGATATCTGTCTCATCGAACCGCTCCGTTGCAAAGTGGCCTGTAAGCGACGGGACGTTGAGTTTGACCTGAACGAGTTGCGCCTACCCAGTCTCTCACTGGATGCATTCCGCCTGGGCGAAAGAGTTTTATCGTCCGAATTACCTGCGCAAACAACCAATTGTCATACTATTATTATTACAGTTTATAAACCTACCCAACATATTTTACAATATTACATCATAACATTATGATATAAAGATCTATGCATTTGGGTCATCTATCAATTTATCAATCATAATTTCAAGTGGATCCGTATGACATACAAATCGAAGTTACAAGTAATAACAACTAAATAAATATGAAAATAATACTTTTTCAGATTAAAATTAAAAGTCCACGTA